ACTTGTTTTTTAATCCACTAAAAGATCAGCATTAAAAGATATGTAGATATTTCCGCAGATGATCGAGAACTTTCTCGAAATCTCAAGACCCTTAATCATTTCAAGTTTCTAATCGGTATTTGTAATCGCAAAACAAATGCAATTTCCAATAGAGCAAAATTTAAAGGCAGACATCAATCGTCTGACGACAACAAGACTGCCGGCGATCGCTATACTATATACATTATAATGCCATATTGTACGAGTATCTGTAACAGAACGTGTGTGCTTGTGTGTCGCAGCGCTTTTACCGTTTGATAACCTAGAAAAAAAGACTACATAGGTGTGTTTGTGTGCGTGTGGGCGCTGGACAAACGAAAATTGATAAGAGGCGTGCGTGCAATCAAAACTCGCCAGCTTTTTCTTCTTCTTTTTGTCGGTTTGAAGAGCACTGAGCACAATCATATCATCATAGTAGCTCTCAAACTGTAAGAGATCAGAGACTCTTTTTTTCTTTATTTTATAGGTTTTTGTAATTAGATTACAACTGGGGTTTTATTATTACACCTTTTAATAAAAAGGAAAATTACTAAGCCTTCTAAAAGTTTCTAACCTTGTAAAGAATATTCTAATAAATAGTTTAGATTTAGAACTTGATGGTATAGTTTTAACAATTAATATAATAAAAGCGTTTAGTTTATTATCAAGTTATTTTACATTTCATAGTCTTAAGATTTAATTTTAAACGAAATGTAACATAAAGATAATTCCGTTTATTAATCCCAAGTTATTTCATTATCATTTGCCGCTGCCATAAAACCCATTAGTACCAATAACCACAAATTTGTGTTATTTCTGTATTCAATTATGATTGGCAGATGTCATGTTCGGAGCGAATTTCAAAATGAAAAGAGCCTATTGTCACACAATTTAATTTGTGTGTCATACAAAACATAGGGAAGTTCGAGAGATGAACAAAATTCGAGCATAGCCTTGTAATAATAGCTCATCAAGAGATGTCGTATCTTGCCATATGTCGTCCAGCGTTTCAACAAATTTGATGCATAAATTCATAATTTAAACATTTCGGTGGTGCCTACGCAGTTGAGAGCTTTGCGGGAAAAAGAGTGCGTAGCGGCGGAGCGGCTGTCAACTGGCCCATCAAGTGGGCCCGAAAAAAACCATTCGAATAGCCGAGCTTCCTCCATCTCTTAGTGCCTTAGTGACCCCCTACCCAGCTTTTGAATATATATATTTGTATATATTGTGCTCGTGAGTCTTTTGTGTGTCTACACATAGGAAAACTGTCTATCAAATTGGGATTTTTCTACCCAAATAAAAACTATCTGAGGTAATCTTTTTAGAGATTATTATAAAAACAGACTTTATAAATACATAATGCTAATATAAAAACACCGTAAAATTTTCTAATGAATAACTTTCGATTTTGTTGCCTGTTTGAAGATTTTTGAGTAACTCCCCCCTCTGTTTTTGCGCCCAGTGGGCTTTTCGAAGACTTCTCCGCCTCATCCCGGACTCCATCCGATTTACGGCGGTCCAGTACACCCGGCCGGTCGCATTTGGAAATCTCGAAAACTTGTTTATCCAACACACAACACAAGCTTGCGCGCACACTCACACACGCTTATGCGGCAAAAGCAAAGAGATGGGGGAAAAAAATTATAAACAAGTTTTTTGTTTTGTATTTCGGCTCGGCTGTTGTTGTTCTTCCTCTGCCTCTGTCTTTGCCCCTACACCCCCCAAGCCACCCCCTCTTATGGTGCTCTTTGTGCTTTTTACTTCTTGCTTGTGTTTTGTCGCTGGTTTCGTAATTTATTCTAAAAGCGTTCCGTTTTGGCTCTATATAGAGAATAAACATATATACACACGGGCCTGGCTGCCAGCCTCTACATACATACATACATGTATATATCTTTTATACAATGTGGATGGATATATGCCATGATGTGTATTTGAATAAAAGTAATACCCTGAGTGACATTCGGATATGACATATCATTTGTGAGTTGTTCTTTTATTATGCAATCACAACATCATTGTCTTATTTTTAATATGCCGACGTCCTGAGTAATCAATTATTTAATTATTTAGGTATAAAATTATTTAAATTTGTAGGAAACTTTATAAAAAGTAATACATGAATGATCCTAATGGATCCTCATTATGTAGTAACTTGTTTTTCTTTCCTACTAAATTCTCTTCTTAGGGTATTTGTGATTCGATGTGTATTTTTCAACATTTATATTTCTTATTTTCTACGGGGTTTTGTTTTGTTTTGAGCTCTGAATTATTCAAAATAACACTTTTGGTCTATTTGCCTGTATTGTTGTTGCTGTACGCCTCAGCGCTTTTGAAGTGGGTGCAACACAAAAACAACAATATGGTTATATAGTCGCAATATCTGCCGATCTCTAAACCACAAAAACAACACAACAAAGTACAAATAACAAGACGTAGCTTTATTGAACAATTCAATTTTGCTCGATTCGAGTTACCAGCCTGCGGTTTGGATGTGCAATTGTTTAATGAAAATAAAATTAAAAGAGGAATTAACAATTACAATTATGAACCCTGCGCACTTTCCCACCTTATTCTCAAACTTCGAAATTTGGTCACTCTTTCTCTCCCTCCCACCCTCTCAGGTGCTGTCAAAATGTGACAAGTGCCGGCAAAGAAATGAGAGGGAATAGAGAGATTTAACCTTGAAAAGTGTGGACAAGACAAGACGGCAATGACGCAGAGAACTTGATTTAGATTCTGTTTCGGATTTGGATGAGAAGGTAGAAAAACCCCAAAAGTATGATGGAAAAATACAGTACAATTAAATATTAACCATTACATGCATACATTTTGAGGTATGCTCTATTCCCGCAGGAAGATAGTACACATAAAACATTTATTTATGCCAGCTCACAAAATAAACAAATAATTCTATTAGACAAAATGTGTAAATAATTATATTTATCAGTCGTGTACTACAAATAAATAAACACATCTATACATTAAAAAGTAGGGAAGAGTTCTTAATGGTAAATTTATGAAGGGAAGCCATAAACTTTATTGCACACCAATGTCAAATATAATAGAACCCGTTTATGGCTCCAATATATGCACATAATTTAACTGAAATATGGCACAAATAAATTACTTTATAAAAGGGAAAAGTAAGTAACAATGGAAAGTCCCTATTTCTTTGCTAATAAAAACCTCAAATAAACAACATATTTATTTCTTCAAGATAAGTAAATAAGGGGATCATAAAATACATCTAAATACTTTTTCTTTTCAAAAATTCCCCACGTAAACAATGACTAATGGAATGTTCATTGTGGGGTGTCTTAAATTGTACCTTATTCTCCTGGAAAGTTCAAATAAACAACTTAACACGTCAAAATATAGATATGGTAAGTAGCGAAAACAGATAAAAACTTTACTTTGTTCGAAAGATAGTTAATTGTACTTTAAAGTACCTATCATTTAATTAAACAGTTATTAATGTTGTTTAAATATCGCATATTAAGGATCAACGAATTTTAAAATTAATAACACAATTTTAATTAAAGATTGATTTTTTTTTTTTATATAAACAATAATCCATTTAAAGTTAACACAAGTCAATTAAAACTTTTATTTATGTATATGAAAGATTGTTAAAAAATAAACAAAATTTACATACTTTCTGTAAATCAGATTAGTTGCCTAAAAGTTCCAAGAAATCCGCAACATCCTAAGTAAATAGTGCCAAAAAGTGGAAAAGCGTTATTATTAACCCATGAACTTTTGCCAACTGACTTCAACACTTAACCCCTGAATGCCAGGGACCGCCCTTTTTGTGACGTTTTATTATAAATTTATTTTTTGTGGGTTTTTTTTTTGGTAGCGAAAACAAAGTGGAAATTCTCGGTACGAAATTATGCAAATTATTTACAACTGAGGGCGTGACAAATGGAGGGCAGAGGCGCATAAATCATAAAAAACGCGAGTGAAAACGACGAAAAGTAACGTGAGGGAAAAACAGAAGCTGACGCAGGAAACTAAAAATACGAAAATACCGGCGATCAGGTTAAAAAAAAAGAAGAAATAAAGAGAAGCGGACGAAAAAAGAAAACAGGGTGTTCCTGTGTAAAAAGGAGCGGCGGATAAACAGGTGCGGGAAGGGGGATCTCGAGGAGCGGAAGACGGTGGACAGAGGAGAGAGATGCGAGAGTTGCACTTGGGCAGGCCAAAAATAAACCAGAATGTGAGGATTGCTCACGATTTTCCCATGAGCAGCGAATGGATGACCCTATTTTTCCGCTACCCCTGCCCTTCCCAGCAGTTCCCGACCATTCCCTACATCCCTATCCCGTCCCTTCCATACCATTTTCCATGCCCATTCCTATTACCATTCCCGGTTCCCGATTCCAGGCCTATGGTCCTATGTTTGCCTTCCGCGTGTGACTGCATGTGTGTGTGTGACTGTGCGTGCCTTAAGAATAGGCGGCACAGGCAGAAACGGCGAAAAGCAAAGGCAAAGGCAAAAGCCATAGGCCGGCACACAAAGCATAAAGAACGATAATAAACACACACCAGCACACTCCGCGCACAATACAAGGCAAATACAGTGAAAATCGCTTAACAATTACCCGATTTGAGGGGAACCTAAACTAGTTTTCAGCTCCCTGAGATTATATCGCATAAATGCGGACATGGTATTGCGAAAATAATCGCTAGAGCCTTTTTCGTTCATATCCCCTTAAGTTTTTTCTATAAACAAATCTGGCTTGGCTTCCTTTATCCTTGATATCCACTGTATTCCCGCGAGAGCAGAGCGAGCGAGCATAGGCCTTTTTCGCCCATTGTTGTTGCTTTTTATGCTGCGCTGTTGTTGCCTTTGGCTTCGCCTACCCCCCAATCAATACTGGAACACGCTCTCGCTCACTCTAACGCACACACGAGAACCGTATTCAGAACGATAGCACTAATCGGGTGACGAACTATATAGTGTACATATCACTTACGTTCTTGAAGAAGTCCATGAACTGGCTGTGGTAGATGAAGTCCCTGGGATACTTCTGCTGGAACACCTGCGACAGCAGGATCGACAGTGGGACCTCGCCGGCGGCCGTCCCGCTCGCACCTGTAGTGCCATTGCCGTTGCCGTTAGAATGGAACCCCACTCCCCCGCTGGTGCTGCGCTGCAATTTCGAGGTCGAGGCAACGAAATTCGAGCATTTGCACGAGATCAACATGATTTGTCCTGCAGCTTTCTGTTTTTGCCGGGTCTGTGATAACGGTATTGCCTGCCGATATCTTCACACACACTCTTCTATTTCACTCTGGCGTAAGGACACACTTTAGTTCTTCTTCTTGTTCTCCTCTTCACCTCCTTATTTGTATTTCGGCAAGCGCAAAACAGCAACAACAACACGGGTTGCAAGGATTCTCGCGTAGTCCACGGTTTTGTTTTCGATTTTTACTCAAAATAAGGGCTCTTTAGTTTAGTCAGAGCGTGTTAGCGTTTGTGGGAGTTTACAGGCTTGGTTTTTACGGTTTAATTAAAGCGCTTGCAGACGAAAACAGTCGAAAATCAGCCGACACAACGCACCCACGACCGACCGATTCAATTTTCTTTTGTTTTGCTTTCCGCTCTTTCTTTGCCAGCGATGTCACTTCAGAGAAAAAGCTAGATTGCCGAAAAAAAACGGCTAAAAAAGCGGTCTGGTACTTTTGGTCGCTGGGACCGAAAAGTCTGGCAACGCTGGTAGGTGGTGCAGCGGCGTTGCCAGACTTTTGAGTCCCAGCTACCAGAGTTGCCAGACTTTTGAGTCCCAGCGACCAAAAGTACCAGATCGTCAGTGTCCCAGCGACCAAAAGTGCCAGATCGGATTATTCCTCCCGATTTAGCGGGAAAATAGCTACATTTTCAACGCTGGTCGCTCGTTCATGTGAGGTCTGGCAACGATGTGAACGTTGATTTAAAAAAGACGTTAAAGTTTTAATATTATATTTAAAATTCAAGGTGACTTTTTTTTTAATTTACACCGATTCATGACATTATTATTTTGGAAAGTAAAATTAAGGATTCTGTCTTTTAGACCCAGACTGGCATTCGAATCGCCTTATATGTTTTTTCTTCTGAAGAATTACACCTTGAATTATTTCATTAAAACGACTGGCCACTAATTATGAAGCCACGCTTTAATGAGACATTAATTTAGCAGCAATTATCTTCTTCCTGAAAATTCTGTTGTATTCCTGTAATTGCGATTTCCAATAGCAATTGCATTTTTAAAGTAGTACTTCCGGTTTCTGCTCCTTTTTGGCCACAGTAGAACCTCTTTAAATTAAATCCAAAACGTTTATTTATTATTTAAATTGAAAAAGAAAACTATTCTTATGTATGCAAGAAAATTCTGTAACTATTCTTTATTGGAAGCAACATTGAGCCATATTCAAAATATTTCACAAATTCTATAAACCCCCTGACTTTTATACATTTTTAATTGAAACTCTTTAAAGTTTTATTGGCAGCAATGACAAATGTCTGGTTAGTTTCACGAGCGAGGTATTTACTATCAGATCGTAAGGGCTTGACCCAATTTGAAACCGAGTGATAGAGAGACACGAATTAAAGAGGTAAAAGTTGGAACTACACAGAAAAGAAATTTGATCTCATATGGGAAAAATATTTAAATTGAATTTTTCAAAATATAAGTAGCATGATTTTTGAATAATTATTAGAAGTATTATTTTGGGGTTTGACTTCTTTATGATTAAAATTAACTCTTTTAAGTTTAATGTATAATTATAATAATAATTTTATAAATATCACCTTTAAAACATCCCAATTTTTATTTAGATGGCTTAAAACTAAAGTTCAAGCTGCACAGGCTCGCCTGTAGTCAGCATTCAAAATTGCCCCACAATTTGAAGGGGCTCCTTGACTTTCCCAATTCTGGAGCTGGAACTGGAGCGGGCTGAGAGGCTGGAGCCCGCCCCCTTCGTCATCGTCATTGCAGTGTCAATGAACGCGGCTTCAGGCAAGACCGGCAATCAAATTACAAGCCCGGCTCCGTGACGTACTGATCGGCTCTCTGAATCCCTCACTGATTGCCCAAAATAAACAACGACCGATACCGAGAGCAGTTTCGCTTTCATCGTGCGCTCGGTTTGTTTTAGTTGGTGTTTTTTGTGCGGTTTTTTAATGGCTTGATACCTGTTCACGTGCGTTTAGCCACTGGCGGAGTTTATAAAGGTTCGGATCGCAGCGAAGGGCGCCACAGTTTCTCGGAAAGACGCGAAGCTGCGTCTTGAGCCGCGCTCCAAAATCAAACATAATTTTCAAATCCCCGCGTTTTTGATTTCAAACACCCAACGGAAAATAATAAACAAACAAACGGCCAAAAATAATAACAAACAAACAAAAAAAAAACGGTCTTGTTGAATTAAAAAGCAGCCACCAAGGACAGTTCTACATTGATTGGATAATCACTGTGTGTGTGTGCTTTGCCTTTGAAAAGTAGGTCGATTTGCCAATTTTGTGTTTAAATTTGAATTTGTGTTTGTTTGCATTTTGATTAAATCCGGGATTTGAATTCAAATCCACGCCTTGACCCTTGAGGCGTCAAATAAAAAGCTTTTTTCGGTTAAGGAGCAAAAAATAAATCACCATTTTGCTTATGCCACTTTCATTAATAACCAAAAAAACAAACTATTCAGACATGCAAGCCAGCAAACATGGCAAAACCAGACTCAGCTTTTGCGAATATTAGTTACAAAACCATCATAGAAACTAGCAAAAAAAAAACTAGACGATCGACATCCCGATTCGCTGGCAAAGTTAAGGTGAAGGTTCATTTGCATAGCAAAAAAAATAAATATATTTCGTGTGGATGCGATGAAGCCAAGCGCAGCTTTACGCAGATTTACGATTTACCCTTGAAACGGATTCATCGAAAAGCCATTAGCTGCCATAATATGCAAACTGGCTATCGGGGGGCTTTTTACATCTATCTTGGCGACGTCGACGACGACATCTTCAAGAGCAAAGAAAACACTGGAATTGGCTATACCCACCATATACTATATGGCATTATGCCCACGCCAGTGCCAAAATTGGCGAAAAAACACCCTGAGGGGCATAATTCTCACATTTCTACCGAAAATCAACCTAAGTCAACATCGTTTCGGGATAAGTAGTAGTATTTATATTTGGGCAAACAGCAAATTTCGCGGTTTATAATTTATGCATGTAAATTCTGGACGCACGTGTCTTGTATTAATCCCTAGATAAAAATATTTCCCAGGCACACGCACGACTATAGTCGTTGACCTCTGGCCAATATGTGTATTGGGCCTCATAAAAAGTGGTAACATTGAACTTTGGTAATGAATAAATAGAGGCTACTTGAGACCTTATGAATCAGCGCGAGTGACAAGTTCGATTGGTTTTATTATTGTAATATTATTTTTTTGCAAACCTTCAGGTGACTGTTTAGTGTATTTTCGCAGGTGAATTTCGCTTGAATTCATCAAACTAATCCGCAACAATGAAGTGGGGCCTGACATTGAGGAGCACTTACGGCTTGGATGGGGCTAATTGATGTTTGGATTGAACTCCACCTTCCACTCGAGCGGCCACTTCCCATGTTCTGCGATCTCTCATTTTACGCACTTCCTTCTCCCTGGGAAGTTTTTACGAGATTAACCCTCTATAAAATATAAATAACTAAAAAAAACTAAAAGGAGAAGGTGGAAAATCAGATTCTTTGGAAAATTAAGTCAGTTTTTAGATGAGTAATAATATTTTTAGACGCTCAGAGTCCATTCAATTAACTTGGCCAGGTTGAGAAAGGGTTAACTACACTTCAAGAACAAACAAAGCTGGAACACTCTGACGCAGGGGCTTTACATCTGAGTCACAAGCCTCGCCCCTCTGTCCAAATATGTTCCGGTAGGAAGTCATTGTAACCGTAACCGTGTTTGCTTTCCCAAGTTCTCCCCCACTTTGTATTCCCTAAGGGCTTTTGCTAAACAATTAAACAACTCCTCTCGCTTTCCACTTTCAGCTGCCGCTTGTTAGCGGTCCATCGGCATGAAGGGGCACTGGAGAGTGGTCATAGCTGTCGGCATCTTGGCCCTGGCCATCAATGGGGCCATTAACGAATCCACAGTACGTCGTCAACGCTATGATTATGGCCTATTCAATGACAGCCTGGACTTGGCTACGGAACTGGTCACCTCAGAGATCCTGACGGAAGATGAGCAGGTCAGATTGGAGTCCAAGCACGAGCCACATCTCATCCGAAGCTCTGTTATTTTTGGGTTAACCAAAGCCTCCAACGAGAGTAGGTTGAGCTCCAGCTGCCATGCCCAACTGCAGCAGGTGCAGCGGGGAATTCTGACCAAGCAACCATGGGCTATGAAGGGTAAGTGAAATTGGAAACGAAAGAGGATACATATTATATGACACCCTACTTCCTCCAGTGCTCGACGCTTCTGGGACCAAGCCGTCGGGCTTCGTTTTTGGCCAGAACTACTGGCTGGGTAGCCGGGAGGCTTGCCGAGGCGTCCAGCGACCCGTGGGGATCACTCTTTCCCGGAATTACGAACGTGTCATGCATTATGGGATACTCACCCAGCAGGCCCCCTTCGACATGGACTACCGGATTATATACCTGCGTCATCAATCCCCCTGGCAGGTGGAGATCAAGGTCATGTCCGAACAGGTGCTACATATTGGCCTGTGCCTGCCGAGCGCTTGTGGCTCCGAGGAGGTGAAGCAGCTAGCCAGGGACTATGTGGCTGAGGGAACGTTCGCCGAGGACGACATCTTTGACATGCAGCCGGAGGTGATGTACATGAAGGACCTCAAGCTGAGCGAGCGTTTCTTCCAGCGTCCAACCTTCCGAATGGTGGTGGCTGCGCTCCTGGTGACCGGTGCTCTTATGCTTTGCGCCCAGCAGCTGCGCGTGGCCAAGCGGGGCGATGAACCGGAAACGGGTCTGGCTCCTGTCGAGTCCGAGCTGTGGCAGGCCCTGGACTCCCTTCTCAAGTGGCAGCCCCTTCAGAATGTGGTGTCCTGCTTTGATGTGGCCGACAATTGGAGAAGGATATCTGCTATGCGGGAGAATCGTTCTGGAGAGATTCCCATTATGAATGGCCTGCGATCAGTGTGTGCCATCTGGATCCTGATCTTCCATGTGGTGTGGTACATGTACTTTACCGTGCACAACAAGACGGTTCTGATTTCGTATGCCGAGAAGGCAGTCTTCCAATATGTTTCCACAGCTCCGCTCCTTGTGGATGTCTTCTTTACAATTAGGTGAGTGAAGGGGATGTCCCTAATGGATCTTTGTATATAAATATTCGGCACCCTTAGCGGCTTCCTGCAAACCTACAACTTCCTGAGGAATGCCAAGCAGCTGGATGCAGTGCGTCGCAATGGACTGGCTGGCAATGCAAAGCTCTTTGGCAAGCTCCTGTTCCATCGCTATCTGCGTCTGGGTCCGCTCTACCTGGTGGTAATGGGCAGCGTAGACCTGGCCTTCGCCTACATCGGGGACGTGTCCGTCTTCCACATCAACGAGCGCTTCGATGAGCTGTGCACGGAGCACTGGTGGCGCAACCTCCTGTTCATCCAGAACCTCTTTGATCACCGCGAGATGTGTGCCAATTGGAGCTGGAGTCTGGCCTGTGACATGCAGTTCTTCCTGCTGGCCAACCTCGTGCTCTTCGTCTACGCCAGGTGAGTGTCTTCAGGGGAGGGAAAGGAAAACATGTTCTCAGGATTAACTCCTTATAGACACCCCAAGGCGGCCAAGGCAGTCACGCTGGCCGGACTTGTGGCCACTATAACCTGGTCCTATGGGATCGGCATCAACCACAAGTTCGAGTTCTCCTTCGACGCCACCTACGCAACTGGCACCCAGATATACACGAGTCCCTTTGTGAGGATCCTGCCGTACATCGTGGGCGCCATTGCCGCCTGGTGTCTCCAGGAACAGCGCTTTCAAATGGAGCTGAGCGAACAGCAGACCCGCTGGCTATGGCACCTCAGCGTACTGGTCTTCCTGGGCTGCATTTACTCCACGGTTAAACGAGATTTGGGCCACCTCATCACCATATCACTGTTCGTCCTGGGCCGGGGACTGTTCTCGCTGACCGTTTGCTGGATGGTCGTGGGCAGTGCCTCGGGTAGCGGCGTCTGGTGGTCACGAATGTTGGAGGCCAAGTGCTTCCAGCACCTGAACCGCTTGTCCTATGCCATATATCTCCTGAATCCCCTGGTGATAGCCCTCGTCTACAGTCTGACCAGTACAAGTTCCGCTGCGGATCCTTTCATGCTGGTGGGTGATCCCCTCTAAGCGTATAAGTTCGTATAGTATGAATATTTTTCCTATTTTTTAGAGCGTCGTGTGTTGCGGCTTCACCATGATCGTGTACCTAGCCTCCATAGCCTTTTCGCTGGCCTTTGAGCTGCCATACAGCAATCTGTCCGGATTGCTGCTGAGACGCGAGGGAAAGCCCAAGAGCTCCTGAACTGTGATTATCACCTTCCATTGTTAACATTGCATCTAAGTCAGTTATTAATAAGAAATTTTAGATATACAAAAGATTTGTTGGGTTGTCTTTTTATCCTGGTTTAATGGGTGGAAACTTTCAGATTTATACAATTTCTTAAGGATTTGGATTTAGTTATACTGTCAATAATTTAGAAGCTTTCGGAATATCCTCGTGAACTAGAATTAGTAAGCAGAAAAAACATGTTCATCCAACTCGTATCGCCTCAAGCGCTCATGATATTGCCCAAAAAAGAACGCCTCAGCTTTATACAGATTGTAGGCTCTCCAATGGGATGCTGACTGGTACCTATTGTTATACATCCACTTGCAATGAGCGGGCATCCGATAAATATGATTAAAAGGAAGGTCCATGTCGCATGGCATATGCAGGGTTTGAAAATTGAAGGGCATTGTTACCTCATGAAAAGTTTGCCTTTTTCTGGGAATATGCTTAACCACAGTTTTTTCAGTGTCCAATTCCAACGTAGGTCCAGTGGAGTTCTTCTTAAGTGTCGCTTCCGGAAAATCGCTTTTGGTCGAGTTGTTTACCTCTATTGGCAGAGAGGGAGTCATAGTTGGAACGGCAGTGGCTTTGGCTGAAGACTGATCTGTTTCACGGGGAATATGCTTAATCCGAGTGGGCACATCTTCAGTGGTTCGGATGGGGATGACGGTTTCACGGATGGTCTGCACCGGAGCTATAGAAGCAGAGGAGGAGTCCAAATAAACGGACTTGGCATTTCCGAACGAGAGAAACCACTGCAAGGGGCTTGTTGTTTGTTGTTATCTTTTTAGATTAATTATGTTGGATAACTTACCGTTTCGAATACAAAAAAACAAAGAACAAATGCACTTTTCATTACTGTTAACAAACTGGTGTGTACAGAAAATGTAAAATACAATTCGTGTTATTTTGACAACAAACTCAAACTGAAACAAATTTTATTTAAAAAAAATGTTAATTGAAGTCAGTTTAATTTAAAAGTGTTAAATTATCATTTAAACATTAAAATATAAAAAACGCATGCAAAAAAGTGTAGCCTGCTTTTAGGCCGAAATATATTAACGTCATTGGCAAGCGATTTTCGTAATCCGTGGCATACTTCTAGGCCGAAAAGAACTCAACGTCTCTTCAGTCGCCATAAGTCAACACTAATTTGGAGTGGATTGGGTTAATTCTCAAAATGAATTCCGGATATAATTTTGATTAAAATAATAAGTTGCTTAGACTGAAAAATAGTCAATAAAATGTTCTTAAACTAGGCCAATTTAAATTTGGGGAAATGCGTGTCAGTGTGACCTTTTCCATGGCTTTTCTTTGGTTTCATTGGTCACACTGGTTTCGAGCAGAATAAATTGCAATTTGCACAAAACATTTAAAGTTAGTACCAATTGTTGTTAAAAGTTGCACATTTTATAAGCTCTTCCATTTTCCCATATGTCAGATATAGCCTTAAGTAAGCTAAGCTGGCAACAGTGATTAGGAGCAACAGATACTTTCAAGATGCCCAAAGAGGACGCGGAACTGGCGGGGAGCTCCGCAGCGACCGCCAAAGACAGCAACGAGGTGCCGCCGGTGGAGAACGCCATCAAGGAAACCGATGCATCCGTTCCCGCTTCTGCCCCTGGCTCGGTTAGCGTCTCTGCCAGCGGCAGCAGCGGCTCGGCCACGCCTCCGCCCGCCAACGAGGAAGCGGACGAGGCGGAGCTGCTGGAGCGCATGCGCGGTGACGCTGTGGGCGAGACCATGTACAGCAGCCGGTTCATCCTGCAGACGGTTATGAAGCTGGTGCAGCTGCAGCCAGATTCCCCACTGGAGCAGCAACTGGAGGACGACCTGTGCAAGGTGTGGGACATGTCTGTTTCCCCCGAGGTGGTTACTCTTCTCCTGGAGAACGACGCCGTTGATCCCATCATGTACTCGCTGATTGATGGCTGTGAGGATGTGCGGCTCTACGAGATCCTTATTGGACTGCTGGGCAACATGTGCGCCCAGGTGGAGTGCGCCGAGCTGCTCACCTGCTCACCCCAATCGATGGAGACGCTGTTCAAGCTGGCCAACTGCCTGGACACCGGTATGCTGATCCAGCTGATGCGCCTCTACCAGTACATCATGGCCCATGTGCTGAGCGGCAAGGAGCAGTTCGCCGTGGACTGGTACGTCTGCTTTGCCGCCTTCGAGAACTCTGCCCAGAATCTGGGCAGGATACTGCAGCAGTCCGTGAGCGATGAGCTGCTGATAGCCGCCCTCAAGGCAACCAATGCCATCTTGGCCAGTTGCGCCCTGGTGGAGGAGGAGAATGCCAACTCGTCGCTTAACTTGAAGCCTTTTGCGGAGGTCTTTCTCGTGCAGGAACTTTGCGATGGAGTCAATAGCGCCTTCCTGCGACTCATGCGCGATGATCAGGCCAAGCTGGCCGATGAGGAGGGAGGTGAGGAGAACGGAGAAATACCAACTGCTGCCGGCGTTGCCCCCACGGACAACGAAGAGGATGCCGACGTGGGTTACAAGTCGTGCGCTCCGAAAATAACCTGTGATGTGGAGATCATACAAACCTACCTCAACATATGCACTATACTGGTTCAGCTGCCCGAGGCGCAGGCCTCCATGGATGTTTACGCGCCCAGCATAGTCAATTGCCTGACGCGGATATTGCAATTCCTGCAACAGCCGCTACAACTCATTCCATTGGGCGAGCGACAGGAGGAGTATCTGGAGGATCTGGCGCACATATGGAGTGTAAGTTGTATCTCTAAGGTTGCTAAGTACTGTAAACTAATTAATATTTTCTATGTTTATTTCAGCGCCTCAAGTACTGCTATCAGAAGGAGGCTTTTACCAACCTTCTGGAAGTCTGGTACAGACTGAAGCAGCACACGGATAACTATACGGAGAAGGACGAGGAGGCCAGCGAATTTGAGGAAGATGATGAGGAAGACGCTCCCAAGGAGCAGTATGTGGAGAATGCTTTTAAAATGTTGCGGCTGCTGGCCTGCGTGTTGATTAAGGCGGAAAGCGCAGATCTCCAAGAGATGAGCAAAGAGAAAGTGCGGCTTTTTGTGGCCTCTCTGAAGGCCGAAGAGGATGCCGAGTTCTCCAAGGCCCTCGAATCCCTGAGCGATTATACGGATAACGAGTCGGCGGGCCAAGCCTAAAAAAAAATACCTCCATGAAGGGAAAAAACAAAAAAATGACTGAGATTGTAGCTTACAGCACAATATATTCTTAACTTAATGATCCGCTCTTCTAAATTTAACTAGACGGGGTTGATTCGTTGCTGGCATTCTGCAGTTTCTGGCGCATCATATCGCTCCACGACTGTTTGCCCAGGCGTACTCCCTTCTGTCCCTGGCTACTAACCATCAACTTGTGATTGTTTTCATTTCTGAGAAGGAATCGGCTCTTGTCCTCGCTTAATGCATGCGTCAAGTGCTCCAGTTCGGTATCCAAACTGATATTCGAGGCTCCCACATCGATATTGAGATCCTGCTCAATGGTTTGCGATATGTAAATGACGGCCTCATCTGTCAGGTTCTGAGCATCGATCTTGTTGTGACCCACGAGCTCGGAGAGCTGTATATTTAGGCTGCCACCTTTGGTCACCACCTGCAGATTGCCATGGACACCAGCTGGAATTTAGAGTCTCAATATCACACTGTTTGTGGTGTACTTAAGGCATTTACTCACTCATGCTTAGGTCCGCCGAATCATGGACATGAACTTGGCTGGTTTTGTGGACATTTTTTAGGTCCAAGCGGCCGGTTGCTGTTTCAAACTTGGACTCTTCAACGTAACAACAGTCGGTTACTATGCTTCCGCTCTTGGTGGAGGCTGTCAGGCTGTCTCCCTGCAGTTTGTCCATGCTTATATTCTGTGGGTGCAAAATCGGAGAAGCTAAACGGAGGACTCGGTTTGATATAACTCAATTCTCACCCCATTGTGTGTCTCTATTTCGGTGATCTTTCCGAGCAAAGTGCCCTGGCAGATGATGTTGCCATTCTCGCTGTACAGGCTAATGTTGGTGGCCTTCACGTTCTTGGTAAGGATTCCACCCTCAGCCTTAACCTGCAGGAGCTCACTCTGGATTCCCTCTACCCGCACATTGGCTTTTCCTGCAGTGCAGACATCGGAACGCACTGGAACTTGTAGAATGCACTCGAAGGACGAGGGCTGATCGGTCAGCTTCTTGACCACCACGCTGACCTCCTTGTTGTCGTCCGACACCTTGACGTCCAGCGTGACATTTGAGTTTTTTACAGGACCACCGCAAAGTTGGGCTATGAAGACGTCCCCGCTGGTGTACCGATGCACGTCGGCGGGCTGGACGCGGACGAAGATATCGGACTTAACGTCGATTCTCGCAAAGGGATTTACATAATGCAGGATCTCCTGGTGCACCATGCGCTTGTTGGAGGACATGTTGGGCTTTAAATCCACCCGAAGCTTCTTGACGTAGTGCCGCTGGTGTTTGTATATGTGCGTACACAAGCGTTGCAGCAGTTGCATTATATTTCAAGAAACCAAAAAAGACAACAGACTAACTTTGTTTACTTTTTCAAATGCACAGCTGGTTTGGGGTAGTGTTCAATACTGCCGCTTTCGTGCTTTCCAGCACTGGCTGTTATCGATTGCAGCCCCCGTTGGCCAACACTGCCGTCCGTCATTTTCCAGTTGGAGTTTTTCAGGTTCAGCGACAGTTGCAGTTTTTTTGGTGCGCAGCAGAAAATCGTTTAGACCAGCCAATTTTTCCACGAATATATCAGCAAAATGTCTGGCAAAGATAGGCTACCGATTTTCCCCTCCCGTGGCGCCCAGATGTTGATGAAGGCCCGCCTGGCGGGCGCCCAAAAGGGCCACGGACTGCTGAAGAAGAAGGCTGACGCCCTGCAGATGCGATTCCGCATGATTCTGGGCAAAATCATCGAGACGAAGACCCTGATGGGCGACGTTATGAAAGAGGCGGCCTTCTCGCTGGCGGAGGCCAAGTTCACCTCGGGCGACATCAACCAGGTGGTGCTCCAGAACGTGACCAAGGCACAGATCAAGATCCGCACTAAGAAGGACAACGTGGCTGGCGTTACCCTGCCCGTCTTCGAGTCGTACCAGGATGGAGCGGACACCTACGAGCTGGCCGGTCTGGCCCGTGGTGGACAGCAGCTGGCCAAGCTGAAGAAGAACTACCAGAGCGCCGTCAAGCTGCTCGTGGAGCTGGCCTCGCTGCAGACGTCGTTCGTGACCCTGGACGAGGTAATCAAAATCACCAATCGCCGTGTGAACGCCATCGAGCATGTCATCATCCCGAGAATCGACCGCACGCTGGCCTACATCATCTCCGAACTGGACGAGCTGGAGCGTGAGGAGTTCTACCGGCTGAAGAAGATCCAGGACAAAAAGCGCGAGGCCAGGCAAAAGGCCGATGCCAAGAAGGCGGAGCTCCTCCAGCAGGGCATTGATGTGCGCGAGCAGGCCAACATCCTGGATGAGGGCGACGACGATGTTCTGTTCTAAGTATTATCTTGTCCGGTTTTTTGGATGCTTATTCCAGCCCAGCAATATTATTGTTAAACTATTGTTCTGTATCTGTTTCCATATTCGCAAAGGCAAGCCACAAAACTTATTCGTCGTAGCAAAATATGTGTGTAGTCTATTCCAATAAGCAGAAAAAGTATGTATTCCATTTTTGTAGTGTAGTGTAAGCTGCGCAAATCATGCATTAAAGTCTTGTTGTTTCATACAAAAGGGCATTCTGTGTATTTTCCTAAGTAAATGAAGGGAATTTTCATTGCAAAAGGGTCATCTGACTTGTTTTATACAATAGCAAAAGCAACAAAAACAATGACGCAGTCACATGACAGCGAACATATGTCTGATTGGAAACAGTGTTGGTAACTGGGCGAAGCCGTTGTCTCTTGCAGCCAATCAGCTGTTTGCGTGGCTATTTTGTATTTGCACGCTTTTTAGCCGAACTTTCCAATTTTTGTGTGGAAATGACCAACTCCGAGTTCCAGGCTGTGGTTTTGGCTGCCGGACGAGGCACCCGTCTGCCCGAAGTCTTGGGGGATGCCCCCAAGTGCCTGCTGCCGGTGGGCCCATATCCGCTCCTTTGGTACCCCCTAAATCTGTTGCAACAACACAACTTTTCAGGTAATTCAGTGAGCAAGAGTCGTGTCTGGGATTTTCATTGTTTTTATTGTCACCCACAGAGGTCATTGTGGTGGTCCTGGAGCAGGAGAAGCTAGAGATCCAGCTGGCTCTGGAGAATACCCCGCTCAAGCTGAAACTCGACTATGCCACGATACCCAGCGACAGTGACTTTGGGACAGCGGACAGTCTGCGCTACATATACGACAAGATCCAGTCCGACTTTTTGGTCCTGAGCTGTGACCTGGTCAGCAATGTGAGCCTCTATCCGCTGATCAACAAGTTCCGCGAGCACCATGCCGCCTTGGCTTTGCTCCTCTTCCCCAGTGGATTCGAGTCCGATGTGGTGATGCCGGGCCCTAAGAGCAAACATAAGCCGGAGCGTGATGTGATTGGCATTCATGCGGCCACCCAAAGGTTGGCCTTCCTGTCCGCGGCCAGTGATTGCGAGGAGACCCTCAACATTCAGAGGCATCTGCTGAAGAACCGGGGCCGTCTGGATGTCTATAGCCGCCTGCTGGATGCCCATGTGTATGTGCTGAAGAAGTGGGTCATTGATTACCTGCACAGGGTAAGGAACCTTTTTTTTTTAGCTGAATTACCTTTTAAGATTGGGTATTTGCAGAAGGAGAATATCTCCACTTTCAAGGGCGAGTTCCTGCCGCATTTAATCAAGAAGCAGCACGCAAAGAGACCCCTCAAAACAGTGCAGGATACCACCTCGGAAGTGGGAGTGGTGACCAAGAATGAGGATAATGTCTTACACGTGAGTTCCCTCAGATCGTAAAGTCAATTAAAACCAACTTAAACATCAATAAATCCTTGTTTCAGTACGTTCCTCACTCTATTCTGGACCAGAAGATCACCCAGACGTCTCTGTTTAATCAATCTCTGTCCCAAACGCCCTACCATGGCGATGTGGTGCGCTGTTATGCCATCCAGGCGCCCAAGGAGGCCATTGGAGTGCGGGTCAATAACACCCTCAGCTTTCTGGCCATCAACCGGAAGTTGGCCAGCATTTGGAATGATCTTTGCGGTGAAACGCATCCACTGATCTCGCCCGGAGCCCTGGTCAAGTCCACCCAGACGAAGGAGATCATAGCGGCCGACAATGCCAAGCTGTCGGAGAAGACCTCACTGAACTTTAGTGTTTTTGGTCCCAACTGCATCATTAACCCGAAGAACATCGTGGCCAACTCCATAATCATGTCCAATGCCGTAGTGGAGGAGGGCTGCAACATCGACAACTGCATCATTGGCCACCGGGCGCAGGTCAAGAGCGGATCAGTACTGAAGAACTGCATCATCGGACCCAACTATGTGGTGGAGGAGGGCACCCACAGTCAGGCAGTGCACCTGTCCAACGCGGACCAGTACATGGAGATAGACATACAGTGAGCGGCTAACTTAATGTGGCTTCCTTTATTAACGAATTGAGTTAGAAGGCGGATTCTTCTAGCAGGACATTAAATATTACAAATAGGTACACAAAACTCGCGCATGGATTTTCGGGCCTGACCGAGACAGAGCTGGGAGGGAGCGAGAGCTTAAAGCTACATATACTTAGACGGAAGGGGGGAGGGAATGTACACGAGAGGTGGATCGGATCCGAGGGAACGACAAGACTGTTTTCTGCTCACACCGGACGCCGCAGTCCCCGCTCACTTCCGCCGCTCATAGAGGTACTCGTCCTCGTAGTACCTCGGCGTTGTGGCAATGAACACCTGCGGCCGGCGCTGCTGCAACGAAATGTTTATCTCCTCGGGAGTGCGGAAGACCTGCTGGTGCGGGTGCTGCTGCTGCTGCGGCTGCAGATGCTGCAGCTGGGGGGCGGTGGTGAAGAAGCGATACGGCGCCGGCGTCACGGTCGGCGCTAGCGTCTGTGGCCTTTGCTGGTGCAGCTGCAACTGGGGCTGGTGCAGCTGATGCAACTGCAGCTGCGGCTGGACTGTGGTCGCTGGCAATGGCTTCCGGTAGGCCAGGGTAGTGGGCTGAGGTTGCGGCTGGTGTCGGATCTGGGTGACCACTTGTGGCTGAGGCTGTGCCTGTTGCTGGTGTTGAGGCTGAGGCTGCTGGTACTGCACCCTAACCTGCTGGGGCTGCTGTTGGGGCTGCTGGTAGGTCACAGCCTGGCGATGTTGCTGAGGCTGAGGCTGGTGATGGTGCTGCTGCTGCTGGTGCTGGATGCGTGGCCTTGGGGCGGGCAGCTCTTCCTCCTCCTCGTCGTCGTAGCGCTCGTGCTCGTAGTAGTTCTCCGGGAAGTAGCGCTCCGAGTAGCGCAGCGTCACATTGGGCTTGCTCTGGTGCTCCTGCAGGTTGATCGGCTTGTACAGGTAGTCGTTCACGATGTGGTACTTGGAGGACTGCTTGCAGATGTTGTCGTGCGAGGGCGGCATGCAGATCAGGTGGATCTGATGGAATGTGAAGCCCTCGGGGCAGATCCACGAGTGCTTCTGGCTATCCTGGCAGTAGTGGAACACCTCACAGCTCAGAGATTCGTCGGCATAGTACCTGGAATCATGGATATAAGAGAATGTCTTAGAAATTTAAATGTCTGACAGTTAAAGATCGGCACCCACCCGGAGTTCCTGTCCGTGCAGCTGAAGGAGGACTTGCTTAGCAGCGTGGAGAGACGGTCCGGCTCCTCGACCTCTTCCTCCTCCTCTTCGCTCTCCTCGCTCAGCGGCTTCTTTTGCTGTCCCTGGATCTTGAGATAGTTGCTTTGCTGCTTGGCATTCCGATTGACATACACCTGACGCGGTGCCTCCTCCTGATCCTCCTCACTGTACTCGTACAGCTGACGCTGCTGCTGCTGCGGCTGCTGACGGTAGGCCAGATGCGTCTGGGCCTGTGTCTCAAAGTCATCGAGCTCCTCCTCGCCTCCACTGGAGTTGACATCCAAAGAGCGTGCCTCAAATCCCTTGGGCTTGGCGGTGGTGGCCGTGGCCGAGGGTGATCCGGTGGCCGCTCCCTCTACGCTGGCCCATAGGCCAGTGGCCACAGCCAGGACTAGGAGAACAACTGGCTGGATGCTGCAATGGAATGAACATGGCAATCAATTGATGAGTCAGGCCCTGCTTTATGATATGGGAAACTCTGTGGCAAGCACACAATCAAGCCAGCAAAAACGCGGGAAAATATTTCTGCGAACCTTTTCGCTTGCCGCGAAGATGCCGCCAAATTGCAGCCAAAGAAGGCAGCATCATCCGATCGTCATCGGCATCGGCAGCCCAGCGACCAGTTATGCAAGAGACCAGACCAGCCAGGCCAGAAAACTAGTTATAAGGCAACACGGACTGCAAGTCCCCCGAAGATAGAAACGGGCCGAGGAGAGCCGGGGGTACATGAAGATGCAACTAAGGCCTGGGAAGGCTAGGAAAGCTGGGGAATCTCACTGATCATGGCATACGCTAAAAGAGAATTCTAATAATTGTCACAGGGTTTCTAATCCTAACAAGGAAAGGAACTGGATATAGCATACCTTTTTGAGGTAATCCCAAAAGATTAATTGGATTAACTACTAAAGGAAATATTAAATAAGGAAATAACTGAAAAAACATGGATACTAATTAAGGATTTGGGACAGGAAATAACTGCCGAAAACCTCATTTTCCAGCCTGTTTTAAAATTTAACTAATTAAACTGGAAACTGTAATCCAAACAAGTCTTCAAATGCATATCCATTAGTTATTATCCGATACCTGTTGACCCTGTTACCATAGCCCATATACCCCTTCACCATGATCGGTATGATGAAGATGCTCAGCTTGCGGTGGGTTCAATTTGAACGCCATTTACCCGCCGACGATACCCACTCCACTTCGCCACTCGACTTGGCTGAATGTCAACTGCTGCTGTTCATACGCATGATACGAGTATTTGTGGTATTCCTGGTGCTGGCCAATCCAGTCCAGGCCAATTAGCCAACGTTACGTGCCGGCCTGCATCTAATTGGGGCCATAACGTCAAAGCCCGAGTAAGAGTCGCAAATAGTTGGGCAAGGTGAAATATATTTGCGGCAATAATAGCAACATGGCAAAAGCAAAAGTCCGGCTGGACTTTTACTTTTCCCAGCGAGTGAGCGTGTGAGTGACTTTGAACCCGAATCCCCGGCAAATTCTGCTAATGTCGGGGGCTGGCCAATAATAAATCTGGAGAGTTGTCTTATGCAAGTATCGGAATCTTCCAGCTGGCAATTTGTCAGCCTGTCGCTTGGCGGCAGCTGGAGTTGCCAGTTGCTGGCGTCGTTGCAAGTTGCACCTTTGAACTTTAGGAGCCTTAGGAACTGGCTGAGAGAGTGCCACTGTGCACGGTCCGCGCCTGTTGCATTGTCACTGTCAGCAAGCGAACCTTTTGCGCAACTCTCTCATGGGAATCCGGGGAGAATCCCTCACTCACTTGGTTTGCGAAGCATGCAAATAGCCAAGCGCACACACATTCCTCTAGAGATTGGAGCCTGGAGTGCTCCACTTGCTCCATTTGCCCCACCAAGCACACTCAAGCACCACTTTCGTCGTTGCTATAGCCAGTCTGTCTGCCATAAATGGAGAATTGGTTGCATGTCTCGGGATCTGTCTCTCTGGCTTTGGTCCAGATGCAGACGTTATCGCACAGCAGTTACATCATATGGAGGCAGTCAGCAAGCGGAGCAGGCACATAGCCGATGCGTTGATGTTGATGCTTTTCGTCGGCCTCAAAACCCCCCTTATGCCCCCGGATTCAGACTCAGCCCACCGCTCGCTCACCCACTTCTGGAAACCACAAGACAGGCCGCCCGGCCAGACCAGGCCGTTGGTTTCGTTATACATTCAAGTGGAGTCGTCGTCGTCGTCGACGTTGTCGTCGGTTTGTGTGCCACCGGGTTTTCTTGCGTATGGAACTCGGACTATATTTGCTTTTGATTTCCTTAAATGTTGGGTGTGCGTCATGTTAGGCGGGCATTTTTGGGGTGACATAAGCCTGGCCAGTCTTAGATTACGACACTATAGCCAGCTGGATGTGTGATGATAAGTGACTGCTCATATATGTAGTAGTTGGTTTTCCTGGCATTTGTGAATTGGTTGGATAACACCCTATAAGCTGGCAAAGAATTAAGAGCCAACTCCACTTAGCGTGCTGCTGGCTGCCCCGCTGCTTACCATCCATCCATTTCAATTTCCATTATCCATTTTGCATTTTACATTTTCCATTTTCCATTTACATTCCCATTTCCAGCTCTCCGGGTCTTTAGCATGTAATTTGTTTGGCTTTGCTTTGCGGCAAGTTTGTTGCCCAAGTCTTTTGTTTTCACTCGCTGCTAGTTATTTTATTCGAGTGCTTAATTAAACACAGGCTCGTTAACACAACTCCCGATGCCATTAAACTGTGTGAAAAAGCCCAAAAATAAATTACATTGCTCTGCTTTAACTTCATTTTTTCACTTTTGTTATGCTTTTTTTTTTGTAGCAAAATTAAACCCTGTTAATGTGCGTGCCATTAGTGCTGAAAATTCACGTTTGCCTGATTTCGGGCATCTGGATAATGTGCCCCTGCAAATTGCTTGGCAATGGGTTTTATGTTTTCGTTTATATGCTGCCTCAATTTTCACAAATCTGTGACCTTGGTGGGTGTGTGTTTTGGCTCGATGACGGGCGAAATCCAACAAGACGGGCCAAACAAAAAGTGAAAGAAATCAATTCGATGGCAATTTATTAATTGCTCTCAAACACACCCCACAAAAACCGACCAAAACTAACCGAAAAAAAACGAAAGCCATTACACCTTGGTGGGCGGAGAGGGCGGCGGTATGGGCGTGGCTGATGGCCAATGGCCGATGGCGGCACGCTTGGGCAATTGCGCATTTCTGTGCGTCGCCGTAATTCCACACGATGAAATATTGCGTATACGCAGCATGCGTCGCAGTGCGTGCATTTGATACAATTGCCGCTCATATTTGCAGTCACTTATGTAACAACGGGGCAGCTCTCCATGCTCATGAGTAATCCACACGACTCTTTAAACTTTTTTAGAAAGGACCACTAACACTCGTGTGATGCAATCTGTCACGGAGATTGGATCTCTCACCGTGTCCAGCAGGCGTGACCACTCCATGAGTCCTAATCGATTGATCTAGTCTTGGGCATTTGATGGAAAACACAAATAAATTATAGGCCATAATATATTGACCACCTGGATTGGTTATCCAATGGATCTAGTCTGGAAATTATAAGCTTTAATGTTTGTTTATACAGGAAAAAATTGAATATAGGCTAAGGATATGGTTTTTAAGATGCCTACGATTTAAGCGATGTTCTTGTCTTTCTACTATTTCTTTAAAAATACCTCTCTCCTGGCTTAGATCAAATTTATTTATAAAAATTGCATTATTCAACTTAATACTGTAGCCAAAGTTTGCTTGATTTGTGACCTTTAGTTGCTAGAAAGAGCAGACTCAAGGTCTAGTCTCTGATTGATTTACCAAATCAAATCAAAACTCAAGGCTTGCCCAAGACAAGAAGTTTAGATTTAAGTCAACTTCTTCTAAGAACCTACTCAAAATTTTAAAAAATTATTCTTTTTATATAATTTTAACTCATTCCAAACCCCTTCTATTCCTTTTAATTTGTTTTTTTAATATTACCCATATATACGCCCATTTTCCTTTGTGTGTTACAATCTTTACGACTCATAAATACAAGTACAAGTAAGACAAGTAATCCCCTTGGGTTTTTAAGGCAGCTGTCGGCAAACAAAAGCGAAAACTCCCACGCCAAAGACACAAACACACAACCGCACACAGCGAAGCAGTACAACAGAAAGATATATAGTAGAAGGAAAAGTTGGACCGACTTCGTTTTGGATTTCTGTCTCTGTTACGTATGTTGGATTTTGAAATCGTTCGCCCAATAGAATATTTCGTGGTTGCCAAGCAAAAGCCCCGGGAAATTGGGGCGAGAGAACCCCCGAGACAGTCGACGAGACAATAACGAAAATGTTAATTTCGGTTGCAGCACGAATCGTTAACCGCGGGGCGCCAGGCCAAGTCCAGGTTCAGATCCAGGTTCGGGGACCATGATTCATAGTCTCTGTGTTTTTGAGGATAGAACTTACTGCATTTTTGTATGTAATATTCCGTAATAATCCCAAGGGTCTTGGCTCTGGATCACACACTTTACACTGAATCACTTGACTCGTCGAGTGTTTCTATCTATCAACTATATAGATTCTGTATTTATCACTCTTGGTTGCTTTGCACTGGGCAGCTCGTCTTCTGGCTGCTGCTGCTAACGGTTCACTCGTCTCTGGCTTGAACAACAAATGAATGACTTTCTTTGGCTTGTTTATGTTTTATACCAAAAAATCCACACACAATTGAAAGCCGCCCATTGAGAGTCGCTAGTTGCCAGTCGCCGTGGAGAGGAGAACGGCCACTTCTCTCTGTTTCTCATGGGTTTCTCTTCTCTGTTGGAGGCAACTCTCTGGCTCTCTATCTCTCTCTAGTTGTATTTCTCGGTGTCTCTGTTGCAGTGGCACTCAAAAGTATCTGCAAGTTGAGTGGAGTTTTCCTCATTGCCCGCCAAGTTCGTTTCTTAAGTCTTTTGATTTTACACAAGAAGAAAATAAAAGTGAAAAGATTGGAAATGAGATTTTTTGAAGGATCTGTGTTTTCTGAACTAAAAAAATGTTTGCTTTTGATTTTTAATAATTTGTATTACATGTTTACACTTATTTTTATGCCTTGTGGTGTGATATTTAGGGATATTTATGAAAATAATCCTCTTCAAAGAGGGTTCAGAAACCCTTATGATATCTCCTATATAAATATTATTTCAATTGATAAACCATAAAATATGATCTTGCATTTTTTCGTGTGTCCCACTAGCAGGGATTTTGGCTTTTTAATCTTTTGGGCCATTAGTCATAATCCAATTGATATTAGTCATGCGGCTAGATATAGGGAGATATATGGCAATATATGCAAACTGAAATGGTGGCGTTTCGAAAAGGCCGGCCACACATTTGCATCCATCAGATACACTTATTGTAAGTGGCCGTCGAACGGCCAGATAGAAGCGGCTCAGATATAGTGTAATTAACATTTTCGCCGTTGATTTTCTCAGCCTTCGCTGCGCATTTTGCATGTTTGCTATTTTCAATACAACAACAATTGCAGCAGCAGCAGCAGCAGCAGCAGATAAAAAAGAAATAAAAATCATTTGCGCCGGTTTTTTTTCTTCAACGAGGCTGCAATGCTGATGCTCCCACAACGAACTTCAGACCACAGAAACCTGTGCGGCAACTCATCCGCCGAATGAAATGCTAAAAGCTACTCACCGACACACACTCACATGGCTGCATTTGTTTAGCTAATATGAATTAATTTACAATACTGCAGACGCCTCCGAGCGAGGGGGCCACCACCAACGCCTCCAACTCGTTGGCGTCTGTTGAACTTTTGCGTTTCTGTGCCGCATGTATCTTGTACTTGTATCTGTTGCCGCTGAATCGGCTGCATCTCAATCCGTTATCTGCATCTGCTGCATCTGTATCTCCTTTTCGGCGGGCAGCATTGAAGCATTCAATGTCTGGACACTGACCGCATGTATACCCAGAGATATCTGGCGTGGCCAGCTACCAGCTATATATATATAAACGATTTGGCAATGCATGCAAAGAAGCGTAACGCAAACGCAAAGAAAGTGCAGCGGCTCTTGTTATGATTGTCTGAAAAGTGTTTGAAGCCTGCAAAGCGACCGGGTGATATAACAAGTTCACATAATTTGCTGGCTTTTCTTTTTCGGTTTTTTGTGTTTTGTTTTATTTTTTTTTGCACTCTCCATCCACATGCTGGTATGTATATCCATAAAGTCAGCAAACAAAACCACTGACAGGCGGTGACCAAATCGCAAAACAGCCTCACGACTCCGAGGGATAATTGCTGACGGCAGCTAATCAAAATTATTCCCAGGCGGGTGCCTCAATTACAAGGCATAATTAATAAATGTTTTGCCGGATTAGTCAGAGCCAAGGGAAAATCCAATGCACACAGAGAAAAATATGGTAATTTGTAGAGGAAACTTGAAGGGGAAGTAACTTGCTGTATTTTTAAGCAAGGGAAAAAGGTAGAAATGCCTAATAAAAAGCATACCTGAGGTTATAGCAGAGAAATTATTTCAAAAAATATATATATTTGCATTTAAAGAAAACTCTTCTTCTAAACAAAATAGTAGACTATAGTAAAACTAGGTTATATTCCCATTTATTTGAATTTTTGCCATTACCCCTTGCTAAATTCCCTATTTTTGTTGCAGGAAAACTATTTGGTAAACAAAAAAACTACACCCAATTGCACCTGCATTGGCAAATGTCGCTGACTCTCTGCCAGCAGCAGATTGTCCCCTAATAACACTGGTAAAATTCATTACACGAACTAACTGGCTAACTGCTGGCCAACTCTACTGGCTGGCTGGCCATTATGCAAAGTCCAAGTCCAAGCCAGAGCCATTCCACGGCGGCACGTTTCGAGGAAGTTGATTGTCACAAAGCCACTCATAATCATAACTGTGTTTGCTGGCTGGCTGCTGGCCCATCAACAGGTAACCGACGACTACAATGGCAGCAAACCAACGACAATCGCCGCGACGGTCAGGTTCAATGGGGGAAATTATGGACATTGGCAGCCGCAACGAGACTGAAAAAAAACGGCAAACGAAAATATTGTAAAACTTGAATCAAACTTGGGCAAGACAGTTGTGCCAGTGATTATTACTAAAACACCTTTGCAGGATTTTATTTCTTCATCAACAACAAGTTGAGGTATTTTAAAACCCAACCGAAGGCAAACAAATTAAACCTTAAATATTTTAAAGCCTCTTAATGTCTTTTTTTTGCTTTAAAATCCTTCTGTTAGTTTTAGGCACTATATTTTTCAGTGCATACCATTTACTGCTGCAATTGAGAATTGGCCAGTTGAATAATTTTCCAGCGGACTTTGGCTTCACCAAAAAAAAATATCAAAACATAAATATATAAAAACAAAAGAAAAGGCAGCAACAATCAAGAGATATTTCGCATGGGTGCATGCTCCAGTGTTTTGTGTGTTTTGTTTATTAACTAATTAGCCCTAATGCTTAATGCTCCACATATTTTCCATCTCTGATGGGAGGAGTGCGTAAGCCTCTCAGTCGGCTATGATGACATGGCGCTCCCATTTGGTTTTCCCGCCTGCCAATCTTGCGGATCCATCTGGGATTTCTCAAGAATAGCTCGAGTTGGCAAAAGCGAAAGTATATAGCCTGATCCATTAGCGTTCTAATAGACACGTCACTTCTGAAGTTCAAGGCCGGAGCTCGAAGAGTGGCGAATTGAAATTAATTACAGCGAACGCGCCTTCTCGGTTCTCGGGGCGTCGTTTCCAGTCTGTTTCATTAATGACTTGGGTCTGGGATCTGTTTTAGATTAGCAATTCGTTTAATTCACACACGAATAGATTGAGTAATTTGGCTCGCACATTTTAGAGGGGTTTCTTGGGGTTTTTGTTATAGGGTAAATAGAGTTTATAACTTAATAATATAATTAAATAATTACTTGTTTGCATTTTAAGCTTAAAATAATATAGGGGTTTCTGAAAATGAGTAGGATTTATATTTGTTTTGCTTTTTATCACATATAATGGTGTTATTTTCTTTGGAAATAAATAAACGTTCTTTCTCAAGCCAGAAAAATGTATTTATTTTTCAATAATATAATTAAATAATTATTTTTTTAGCATTTTAAGTTTAAAATTAATTAGGGGTTCCTGGAAATAAGTAGGATTTTTATTTGTATTAGTTTTGATAAAAATTTATGCTATAAATTCCTTTGATAATTAAAAAAATTCATTTTTAAACATGAAAAAATTTATTTATTCTCATAATTTCCCTCTTAATCAACCAATAACAAAATTATTAATTAGATTTTACCCATACAATTTAAAAACAAATACCAATTAATTTATAATTTATTTCCATCTTATTATAAATATATTGTTTATTAACCAAACAACCTTTCTTAGAGCAGAACAACTTCGGTTTAATTTTCCCCTATTCCCCTTTGGGATTTCTGGAAGTTAATTAGCTCACATTAGCTCCGTGTGCTTAAAGTTATTTAATATATGATTAAAGACCCAAAATTACTGACATCACCTGGCTGGCTGGCCGCCAGCATCAACCGGCAGGCAGAAATCGGACGCACACCCACAATTAGCGGGCAGTCGAGTCGAAAAACCGTTGGGATTAATTCATCGCACATTCACATCGTCATAAAAATTATAACCATCGTTTACGCCGAGTCAACAATGGGCAGGTATTAGACCATAAAGCCCAGCTCCAGAGCAACAATGCCGGAACTTGTCCGCCAGATGATTTGTAAGTTTTGAGCCATACTTTTGGATTGTTTTTTCGGCGACTATCAAGATCAGATTGGATCGGATCAGATCGTTGGGAGTTACGTGTTCGCTGCATTTTGGTCTCTCCGGCACGGAAGTGACTGTGAACTTGACATTGAGGGGGCGTGCCCCCCTTAAGAGTCAAAGAAATGCAAATTTTGGTTGGACAGTTCTCACATTAAAAAAAGTGAGAGATTGGCAGCGGAAGGAAGTAGAAATCAGCAAAATGAGGTAGTTACTAATCTAGTTGAGAAGTGGTTAACTTTTAAAATTAAGTTCGGAAGGTAAAATATTTGTATTTAGGAAGTTAAAATAATATTTTAGTTTTATTTAAACTAAGAAAGAGTCTGGGAAAACCTTTTAATCTTAGGTTTTATGTCTTGAAACATTTTAAAAATTATATAAGCTTTTAGTAAGTGTGATTAAATATTTATTATTGATTTTCCAAGGGCAAGTAATCGTTTTCAAAGTTAAAGCTTTATAAAATCAATAAGATTTCCTTTATTAAACAATTTAATACCTGAACATTAAAATATATATTAAACCCTTCACACTAATAACACAACAAGTAACATTAAGTTCAAGTTATAAAAATCCATTAAAATTATTGGGCACTCGTTAGGAGTGAAGTGATTTAAAGGTAACCCCATGGTGGTGGCTCATTGGAATTTAAAGCAATAAATAATAACATCAGATCCGAAATGATCTTGTTCGGTCTTCATGTGGTCCCTGGACAAGTGTGTGCGTAATTCAATTGAAATCAATTGCAATGCCTCCGCTTACAAATTACCAATCCAAGCCCCAACCTCAGCCATCAAGTGGCAACAAAGAAAATAGGGGGGAAAAAAACCCAAAGAGCCGAGAGCCAAAACCAAGCAAGCCAAATCCGCTTTTGTCCAATTGTTGCGCACTTGAAGCATGAAGCGTGCCCCCAACTCGCACCTGACGGAATGGAATTGCTGGACGGATGAACTCCTCCGCCACGGAGCTGCCAATTGGGCATGGCTGGCTGCATTAGCGGAGCCCACAAAAGAAATGCTGACTTGGACTTGGACTTGCTCTCGCTCTGGCCCTGCAGATGGGGTTGGAGATGGGGGGCTAACACCCCAATTCAGGCTGAGTCGGGGCTAGCGGGCTCATTAATTTCAGTTCAAGGCATCGAAGCACATTTTTTTTATTTTAATCTTAACGCAAACTCGCTCGTTCCGTTGCCGATTTGTAACAATAAAAGTCTTGAAGTGGAGACGCGAGACGACAGCTAAAACTAAATTCGCAATTTTTGTTACAATTTTCATTGTGTGTTTTTGTTGGGTGCAGTTTGAGGTCCGAAGGCAAGATCTCTACCCTCCGCGGACACTCCCAGGCCAACTATTAATTATCACAATTCAGCAACAGAGTCTGTTTGTTTTTTTTTTTTTTTTTTGGTTTTGGTTTCGACCGCCCTATAATTACCCGAGCGGTTCGCTTTAATTGCCACAGATTTATTAAATGGGTCAGTCGCAGTTGGTATTTCGTTGTTTTTCTTGATTTTATTTCGGGTCTCGTTGGTGCTGTGAACTTGAAAATTGAAATTGTTGTGACCATTTGGGAGTACAATGCAAGGGTATGCCGAGATCATGACTGTGTACTTAACTGGGCGAGTTTTGGGGTTTTTTAATTAAAGTGGGAGAGTTTCGTTTCGTTTGATACAATACAAGTGGGAGAGTTCTGAACAACACGAGCCTATTTAACCTCTCTTGTTATCTGTATTTCTTTGATTATATACACTCTTATACTCTGGCTCAAGGTCACATTATCAGGGGAAAGCTAAAATTCACAAAATGAAGAGCAAGAATTTCCGTTTTATTGGGTGATTTACCCCCTAATCTGTAGACTTCTTTTATATGAATCATATTTATTTTGCCCCTTTAAAAGTGTGTTTGTTGATCATTTTATTACTTTACCTATAACTTATTAAGCTTTACCAATTCCTTACTTAAAAAACTTAATTAATAAAAATTCAGAAGAATGCTTTTACATGTTTATAGTTCCATTCCTTCTTGTATTTATATTTACATTTAATAATATTTACTAGTCCAAGGGTATTTGACAGTCTTCTAACTCACTTATTTGTTTGCTATTTTCGTCCGATAAAGCGTAATCGACACTCAATAGAACACCGATTAGAGTCTACTTTTATCATCTTAGAGCACAATAAATTTGAGTAGACTCCAAGTCGCTGCGATTTGGCCAGTTTTATTAGTTGACTTTTTATGTTCATCCCAATAAAACCGAAATGCCGGCAGCTCTCTCAATTACCCTGGTTTTTCTGGGTCTGCTCATCGGTATCTTCATTAAGGTGAGTTAATTTCTCTAGATTTCAATAGTTTTAATACTTATATATGTGATTTCCCTGCAGATTGCCCAGATGTCCGCACGAAGGCATAATCGCAGAAGTAAGTGTTGTGTCATTAGCTAAAGGGAGGAATTATAAAGATTATATATTCAAAAATTAAACTAGGAAAGTCTGTAAAGGTAAAGTTTAGGCTTTATTCAGAAATCAAAATCTTTATTTAAAAGATTTCAACTCCGTAGGAGTATTCAATTCTTGGTTGAGGCTTTTCCCTGCACTTGGTTTTACAACTCTCGATAAAAGAACTGATAAGATATGGATAATCAGACAATATGAAACTGAATCAGAGGCTCAAAAATAGCCCTGGTCTTTAGTTGTCTTGAGATACTTGCCACAATAGGATCACTGCAGCCATGGGCATTGGATTTGGTACCTTCGTCGTAGTGGGGGTCTTTGTGTTTATTACAGTGTGTGTAAGTGGCTTTTGTGGAAACCCTAAAGAACTTAAATTACAGAGAATTTTTTACCTCTTAAAATAGTTAATTTCAAAGCTCTACAACCACTCCAAGCAAAGGGACCAGCAGAGATATATAGACACAACAACTGTGGTCACCACCGAACCCAACATCGGTGAGTTGCATATAAAAAATTCTCCAATTGTCTAAGTCTTTCACTCCCTTCAGTCTTTATTCTCTTATCTTAACTATCTGAATGTCTTACTTCTTCTCGTTTTGTATATTATATTATATATATTATACTTTTTATGAATTATTCATATTTATATGTGGATTTGGAAGGGAGTTGATAAGATGTAAGTTTGAAACCTTTAAGGATAATTCCAAAACTATATTATAATCAAAATGAAAAATATTAGACTTATAGCTTAGAATTCTATTCTATGTTTTTTTTTAAGAAACAAACCCATTTTTCTTCGAATTCCCAATCGTTTTCCCCCAAAACATTGCAAATATGTCGGAACAGAAGAAATTATGACTTTTGCCAAAAAAAAAACTGGCGATAAGATATGGGATAATCAAGCCAATGAATCCCAAATCAAGCGATAGACTTTCAGTTGACATGGAATACTGGTCAGGGACGCAGTGCAGTAGCCATGGGTCTGGGTTACAGTTTGATAGTGTTTGCAGTGATATTCGGCATTATCATCATGTTTGTGAGTGGATTTCCTTTGAGTTTTCACTCATTATCACATTAAAAGTTTGCAGTAAAAGGATATTTGTCTTTAAAATAGATCGTGATGAATGCCTTCAAGAAGTACAGGATGAATGTGGAGAGGATAATTGTGGAGAGAGCCAATATGGGCAGAGGTAATGGTTGTGAATTAGAAAAAATCCAGCTTTAAACTATTTCATTCATTGATGAAATATTTCTTATCTAATCTTAATTTTGGTTCATAAAAATTAGTCATCTAGCTAAAGAAAACTAAAGTATAAGCTATCAAATCGGAAACGGAGGTTATAAACATAAAGAAATTAGTATCCTTTTGAGTTCGAATAAAGTGAAAAATGAATAAAAAAGAAAAGAACTGCACGTAATTCCTGATATCTTCCTCATATCTTCCTCATATCTTCCTCAAATCTTCCTCATATATTCCTCATATCTTTCTCATATCTTTCTCATATCTTTCTCATATATTCCTCATATATTCCTGATATATTCCTCAACTGGAAAGAGAGCACCTCTAGGTGCTCTGTGTGGTCAGCTCTGCATAAGAAAGAATGAATTGGATAGGCTAGGATATATGTATAAGAGTAAAAAGGTATAAGAGTACTCCCATGTCTGGCTACCTTTTCATCATTTTTTGCTTATATTTTTGACCGATAAGGCTTAATCGGGTCTAAACGGATACCGATTAAATTATGGCTGTCAGCTATCAGGCATTGCCATGTTTATCATCTTGGAGTGCTGCGTTTTTGGTAAATCAACTGTTAGTCTTCTTTCCATTTCAAGCAGATTCGGGAGCAGCCCAAAATAATGGCTGTACCTCTGTATATTTCCCTGATATTCCTTGGCCTAGGCCTCTGTGCTCTCATCAAGGTGAGTGAGGGGTTCAAGCACGTGTTACTAACTAACTGAAAAATGCTTCCCCAAAAGATTGCCCAGCTGTCTGCCCGGAGGTCCAACCAGAGAAGTAAGTGCGATTGTAATTTTAACTCGAAATTGAACTGTTTTTCGCGTTACGACAACTCTTGCTAAATGGGTTGATAAGATATGGATAATAACCAATCGAGTCAGCGGCTCCGAAATAGCCATAGCCGATAGCCAGTCAGTTGTCATGAAATACTTGTCCCGCACGGACTGTTTGTAGCCATGGGTGCGGAAATGAGTTCTTTTTCCGTGGTGGTGCTAGTCATCTTTATCATCATGGTCGTGAGTAGATATATAACCCCAAATCGGAAGCAAGCACTACAGGATTTCCTGTTTTCCTCCCAGTTCCTTGTGAATGCCTATCGCAAGGCCAAGCGAGCTGGCCAAGAGCGAGATAACAGAGCCAGGGCGGTGGCGGAGAGGTGGACCAACGCTAGACGTAATGGTGAGCCGGATCTGTAAAGACCACAAATATAGGCTTAGTTCGTAACTGGCAGCACATGCCTCTAGGTTTATGGCCCTTTTGCTATAATTAGCTCTCTGATTTGCTTATCTCGGATAGCTCAGAGTAATGAATTACCCAAGTCAACCTGATGCAACGCGGACTTTATCTTTGTTTATCGGAAGAGCGTTATCTTCCGTTAGTACTGAGGTTTAATTTCGTATTCCCGCGGGTCTCTGCTCATTTGTAATTTCACATTTCCCAGCATCGGTTAGCCATGAGTTTTGTAGAGTGCTATTACTTTATATCCTTTATCCTGATCTTCCTTATCCTGATACGGGTGAGTTTGGTGGCGATACAAGTTCACCCGGAACTCCGTTGTTAATTCCTTTGTTATTCCCACAAAGGCCTATGTCTGTCCCAATCACAAATGGAAGTGCCTGTGCTGCGTGGGCTATACCCGGGAATCCGAATCTGGTGAGTTTCTGATCGAGTAACTCCGCTCCAGCAGTCAGATTTTAAATAGATCGTCCAAATTATAATGTTTGATTAGAAGTAGTACAACTTTCAATTCGAAATCTCGACCAAGAGGCAATCAGAAAGTAGTATAGAAAGGGGACAATGTACGGAAAATTCTGGTTCCTTGGCTTTATTGTGCTGATCGTGATGTCACTGATCGTGCGGGTACGTTCAACCCACAGCGTGATTTCTACTTAATCCTTCCCTCCCAAGGAGATCTATTTGTACATTAAGCTGAAGGTCGATGAGTGGAACTTGCGGGTCTATGCCCGCCTTGTGCGCCAAGAGATGATGTTGCGTCGGGCCATCGAGGGTAAGATCTCAGCCAGATCCCTATGCTCACACACCCCTTCTCTAGCCTCTAAAACTTGCAAAACAAAAGCTGCAAAAGCTTCAGCGATAAGATAATACCTGCTGTTCTGTGGGGGTAAACAGCGATATAAAAGAAAATGGCAACACTTTATAAGATATGAGTTTAATTGGCATTCTGCGTCGTTACTCGCGAAGAACAGCCAGTTGAAGTTAATCCATCTCCGGCTCAGTTTGTTCTTTTCTTCTCTAAGCATGGAAGTTTTTGATATATTTTATATATCTTTACTGTGTCTCCTAGTGACCCTTGTGAGTTTTGTAAGAGTTGACTTTTTTGAATCGGAAAAGTGCTCTTAAAGAGGGGTTTTGTTCTCTAATTGAAAAGTAACAACGTTTAAGTTGATGTTTTTGTGTTACTTTCAGTTAAGCGCATAATATTTCTTGTGATAATCCGTTCTTTATTATATTACCTAACACAAACTTCTTAAATACCCTTGGATCAAGGTGATTTGTTAACAGTTGTATTCCCCACTTTAAGAGCTTTATTTCTGATTTGAAAAGTTACCTTTTTTACCCTCTCCTAACACCCATTCTCTGCCTCAACAGCTTTGCTACAAGAGCCGGAAAAACCTAAACTCCGGGGAGTACGATGCCCAGAGCTATGTGGCGGAGGGCGTGTCCGGTTCGGGGTCCGGGTTTCCAGGTGCGTAAGTGCTACTGTGCGGTATAATCTAGGAACTGCGTGTGGCACCCTAATCGCAGAGTTGTCCGCTGAGTCTGATAAGTGATAATGAAGTGTTGGTGGTGGTGTTCGATTTGGTTTGTTTGGTGATTAGGCCATTGGCAATGACTAGCGTTGCCTTTGCCATTTCAGCGGGACTTCTTGCGCGCGGCGAACGGTGGAAATTCGGTGTCTTGTCTACCCATCTCTTCCGGTATTAACTGATTCGTGATTCGTAATGGCCTATTACGCCATCATGTTAATCGGTTGGTTTCTCATTTTTGCCATTGTATCGATTCTAGTCCGAGTAAGTTGCAGCCATGAATCTGTCTAGACCCTTTTTGATTCTAATGATCTCTGTAGGCCTGTTGTCTCTGCGCCAGGCATAAGCCTTCGCAACGTGGACATGTACCGGGTCCTGGTCCAAATCGAGCTGAAAACCGTCAGCGAGGACGAGTTTTGCAGAGCTACAGAATTGATCCCTCGGGAGTGAGTTTGAATACAGGTGAGCAGCCAGTTAGCCAGGTGAATAGTCATGAGTCAGCCGCGATTTCCGATAAGGTTATCTATTGATTCCCTTTCGCTTTGCTTATCGACAGTGTGTTTGCTCAGTGTTGGCTGGTCGGCATTTAGAATTCATTTATTTTGATGCTCGGTCGCGGTTCGGGCCATGTAAATATTCCACAAAATGGGCGATCTGTCGCGTTGGTGCGAGTTCAGTGTCCTGCTGGTCATTTTTGTGGTGCTTGTGTATTTTTCCATTAGTGTGAGTTGTGTGTCTCTCGTTAGTTTTCTTTTTACGGAAGTGAAACCACGGATATTTCCAGAGATACGTATCCGACAAGCGCAGGCGACGGACCAGAACTTTAGCTAGTCCTCCTTTGAGCAGATACAGTGCCTCTTATCCATCTTCGCCGGGAGTTAGTAGTCGTTTCAGCTGGACAGCAGGTGAGCAGGTCAGGTGTTCTGGCTTCTGGTCTCGAAAGTTATATTCTTTTGTCTTTTAAGTCATTAAAAATGGTGTTAAATGTTGCCGGTATTCCTTAGCCCATGAGTCTTCTAAAACAAAGTTAAGGGATTGTAAAGAAATTGTTATAAAAAGTGTTAACTTTTATTTATTTTCACTCTTTATAACGTATACTTGATGTACATATGGCGTATACGTAATATTATCGATCAGGGCTTAATTAGTTATAGATAACGTCAAAAACGTGACAAGCTTCCTGAGGAATTTTATAATATAGAAACAAATTATAAAATAAACCTTTTGAAGACCAGTTCATTGAATAATAAGTAGAAATGAATAATTTTCTGTGTGTACATTTATTTATTACATTGAAGTAATAATGTATAATCTAATCTAAGCTAAACAATTGCCAATTAGTCATCATATTGAGGAAATAATTGCTATGATATCAGGTTTTTCATTAACTGAATAAATATGTGGTATTAGAAGAAATGTAAACCGAGATTTACTTAAATTTATTTCTGATAAATAATAAACTTTTGATAGCAAAACGATTGGTTATAAAAAATATAGAGGCTTTTCTTTCATATTTCTTAATAAATTTCCTGTAGACCTTTCTTATTTTAGTTTATATTGCTTTAAATATTAAAGCCGCCCTTGGAACATGTATTATATCCCTAAAAAATCTTTAAATCTTTAAACCTTTAGGCTATTTTTTAAGTCTGAAGCGAATATAAAGTCGCCAAAAAGTAGGCAATACTTTTGGTAGCACTCTCTTTTCTTATCTAATATTATTGTTTTTCTATTACTAAGTTAACTATCTTCAAATGGTTTTTATTTTTTGAACAAGAGGCTTTCCTATATATAGATTTCCTTAATAATCGTATATCACAAGACCTTCATATGTCGTCCGTATCACGTGCTTGGCTGTGGCTTTATTCAAAGTGCAATTATTCGCATATCTGTCGGATAGAGATACAGTTACTGTATCTCAAAGTGATATTAGAATAAGAGAGAGAGCGAGTGAGAGAGTGGCGGCTTGGTATCTTATCGGAGACCGTTTGCCGCCTGCTTATCACATGGCCCTTGACACACCTGTTCGCTGCGCTGCTCCACCGCTCTCCCACTCCATCGCTCTCCCAGCCAGTCGCCGATAAGTCTTGGCCAAAAGCCAACCACGGGCGATGATGCGACAGTTGGCCTAAGGCCTCTTTATGGAGCGAATATCTTCCTCGGTGCTCGCGTATCCACGTGGATCTGCCGGACAGCCGGACGCACGGATGAACATGTCGCACATACCGCCCTACCTGGTGTTCTTCTTCCTGGCCTTTGTCTCCTGCGCAATCACATTCTGCTGCCTGAGATTCTGCATTTGGGTGTGCTTCGAGGCCAGGGACACCAGGACGCGGCAGAGACGCCGACGCAGACATGGTAGGTTACCTATCGAGAATTGTACAAAAATATATATATATTAGATACTTGGCCAATCAGACTTTCGCCTTGGCCCAGATAAGATTAGTGGAAATTTGGCTCTAGAAGGTGCTCAGTTTTAGCTCGCCACTCAAGTGATTCGATTGTGTTTGCTTTTTTGTTTTCTGGCGCGGCACCATGGACTTTTTCATCCTCTACGTGGGGGTGTTCTTTATCTTCTTCCTGATCATGCCCTTGGCCTATTTGGCCCTGCAGGTAGAACTATATCTGTCGGATACCTGGCATTTTCTCGCTTAACAGACTTTTGGGAGTTAATTACTCTTTGGTTAATCGTATTTCCTAATGAAATGTTATCTAATTTTGATAGTTTTGTGATGAAATGCATGAAAATAAAGTCTTTAAATGAGCTTCTTTAGGTTCTACTAGTACTTTTCATATCTTTTGTGTCAATTAAATGCTTGATAATAATGACAATTACTCAGGGAAAACCCTGAGATAAACAAAGTGTCAAGTGATAAACTTTTTAATTAAAAACCAAAGGTGTTAAGCGAGGGCTTAGGCACTTCCCATTGCTGCTTTACTGACTCTTAGTCTTCTCCTACAAGTTCCTACTCTGGATTATATTGAACAAGTGCTGCGGTACAAATCCTCGGGGCGTCTTCGAGGATTCTGGCCGGCGACGACGTCAACGTCAACGCCAAAGGCAGCGTCAGCCTCGCGTTGTGGCCATTGGTATGTACGAGGACTTACATGTATTGATTTTGATATGCTGTGTCTAGGTGTGGGTGGCCTGGCTGGGTTTGATGATCAAGTGCCTTTCATAAATCCATAAAGCTAACAAACACTCCAGTTTGTTTTGTGGACTCTCGCGATAAGGGTGCTTTCTGCTGGTGGGTTCTGCGCAGATATTGCAAATCAGTTTTCTGCGGGGGGTCAGTCTTCTAGAGAGCTCGCTGCAACATGGATGCGAGCCCATTGGTTACATTCTTCGTTCTACTGCTGATTGGCTTCGTGGCCTATGCGGCTCTTCAGGTGAACACACCCACATTGCATAGATTTCCTCGAGTCCTTTTGTGGTAACCCAAGTCTTCCATTGTTTTCCCTCCAAAAGTTCGCTGTCATTTGGCTGCTGAGATGCTGCTGTTCGCGACGTCGCAGCTCCATGGACTTTCATGTGTGTAAGTTGCACTGCACTTCAACTGTAGCTATAGCTTCATATATATTGTATATCTGATATATGGGAGCAACCTTTATGGGTATGGCCGACCAAACATGGCGTACACAATCTAATCTCGGGCGAATAATCAATTGCGTGCCAAATGGAAAACTATGAGCTATACTAGGACCCAGTAGGCGTCGTTGGTGGCTGTAGTTTTACTTTGAATACCGCCGAAAATGCACGGATCGGAGCCAGCGATGAATTGGGGAAGCGGATGCGGCATTGAAGTTGCCATCTACCTGGCCCTGGTTTTCTTATTTTTCTGCCTTGTCCCCCTGGCTTGCTATTACATACGCGTGGAGAGCAAAACTCTAGGAAAGATCTGCCGGCCACGATGTGGACGTCGCCAGGAAAATCGCCAGCAGCAGCAGCAAACACATCATAATCAACAGTGGCGGCTATACACCATAGGAATTGGTAACGTGTGCCAAAATACAACAAAAAAGTAGAACAGAGAGTGGGCCGGGTGGTGAGCCTAGGAAGCCTATCTAATCGTTGGGGTTCGGTGGCGATTATTTCGCCAAAAACAGTCTTCGAAGCAGTCGCATAGAATGGGTCTGACAGCTAATCTGTGCGTGGCGCTGGGCTTTGTATTTGCCATATACGTCGTTGCCCAGTTGATACACGTAATTATCCCTTGGAGGAGACCCTCAGCTGGCCACCATTGATTTATTTTCTATATCTATTATCAATAGCTGGCCAAGCGTGCTCACGACTCAAGGGCTCGGATCCGTCAACAGAGACAAGCTGGTACTGTGTGTGGGATACTTGTTCAGCTAGAATTTGTCATCGCGAGTGGGCTATCAGCGTGACATTCCCAAAGTCAACTATCTTTACAACCTATCGAAATTTTATTTGGAGCTAGCAAATTGTGATACAGTGATCATTATTAAAGTGCCAATTCAAATATGAGTATTTCACAACAAAAGGGTGGCATTAAGAAGTCGTGACAATGAAAGTGAAGTGAAATGATTTGGTTTATAAGCCACTTTAAGGAAAAGTTAATCGTGAAAGAACTATAAAGTTATGGCTAATTGTGGTTAGATTGTTGATTTAAAATCCTCACATTTTCTTGAATTTTTACACCAACAAGTTATTAACATTATTAACGCCATAAAATAATTCTAAGAAATCAAATAAGCAAACTGGAAAGATCCCACAGTCTTCTAAGTTTCTCTCAAACTAACCCCTTTCCTTCTTTTTACCTTCCAGACCGACAAGGTAATGTCTTTAGCACGGAGGAGCGGCCAAACAACCGCTATGGCGACATATTCTTCATTGAACCGGGCAGCGAGGAGGCCAATCGCATTCGCGATCAGCTGGAGAAGGATGAAAAGGATCTGCCCAGCTATGATGAAGTGATGCGCATGTGTAACCTGACCACACCCACCGCTGCTGCCGGTGGCGCGGGAGCTCCAGTCACAGTGCCATCACAGTCGCCGCTTGGCGATCCCGCTGCTCCCATTGGGATTGCGGCGCTTCCAGCTCCACCGTACTCGGAGACAGATCCGCATTCTCCAGTTGCCGGAGCAGCCACAGTGATCACAATGGAGCCCATCGAGCCATCCACATCCCGAGCCGCCCAGACCCCAACCAGTCCTGCCTCCGCGGCAGCACCAGCAGCGGGATACCAGAGGCCCGACACCTCCATTGTCCTGGCAGCGAACGTGGCCAGCGTTTGAGGAGGACCGGGGGATATGGAACCTAAAGCATTCGTGCCGTGCCACTCTTCTGGGCCACACAGATGCCAGTTTGTGTGCGCTTTCCCTACAGAAATGAACCTGTGTGATCTTATTGAGTACATACCTAGTTAAGGGCTAGCGATTAAGTGTGAGAGCTATTGTAAATACATATTTATAGAATCTAGGTTTGCAAATTAAAGTGAGTGAGTTAATAGAAAGTGAAATTTGGCGTTATTATGGGGGTTATTGTAATGAAACTGAATGTGTACGTGTGACGATATTCTTTGGTTAATTATATCCTTTCAGGGTAATACAAATTTAGTAAGAAGTTTGTCACGCAATGAAGGAGTCCACCCCAAAAATCCACACCAACATTTCCACACACTTAAACTGCATATGTATATTTGCTTTAGGCATAGTTTCACAAGATGTTAAGCTTACGGTAGACAAATTGTATTTACTTTTATAAGTTATCAATACATGTATATATATATTTTTTTTTGTATTCATCTTGCTTGGAGAAGTCAACAAATATACAGCTAAGCGCAGGGTGAATACAATAAATTATAGATGGACTTCAGCAAAAACTTTGTAGACTATCACATAGATAAACGGTATTCGTAGAAGCTAAGACTATTTACAGAGAATACACTAGAGTAAGATTATAATAAATAGTTGTACGTTAAATCGCAACCTAATATCCAACGGAAAATTGCACAAATGAGAAATGAGGAGAGTTGTGCATGAGTTGTCCCTACAGATTAAAGAACGATTCGAAACGAACTCGTGAACAGCCAAGTTTTAGATTGCATTGCAATGAGCAACATTCAAAGTGTGTGTTGAAGCGCGATTTTTACAAAAAAGCCTTCTTAATCGCTGTTGCTAATCAGAGACTCCTGCTGTTCCTCATCGTTGACTCTGCGGGGAATATATATTAATTGAGCGGTAAATTCTATTGTTTTTTAGGGCTAGAAACTTACCTCACAATGCTCGGCTTATGGCAACGGCAGACTTTTCTATATATAACTCTAAACAGCTTCATTAGCGGATCGGAGTCATCGTTTCGCATCAGCAAGGAAACGAAAACCAAGGCTATAAATATCGGAATCGAGCCCATATAAAACATCGGCGAGTACGGCTTGTTCTTGAGCAGAACATCGAACAAGATGGCCAGCGGAATCTGCAGCGACATGGCCAGCGTGCCGATCAGCGATGAGGTTAGAAAGCAACCCCACAGCCACAAGGCTTCAGCCAGCACAGTGCCAATTAGGCCGTTCAAAAACAGCAGGGCAAACTGCCCCTGGCTGGGCAGCTCAAAGGTTTCGATCTTGGTGATGTGCAGAATGAAGAAGATTGGCCACAAAAGCAACAGATTCCACAGACCCACAAAGCCTGAAAGAAACGAAAATAGATAAGCAACGATATCGAGCCCAAAATAAAATGGATTAGCTCACCGAAAAACAAAGGTATATCGACCTTTTCCTCCGTATCGCTTTTTCGCTTTACGAAAACTAGATAGGCGGCATAGAAGAACGCACTGAACAGGGCCAGGAGTACGCCTCTTGTCATCTTTGTGTCGTGCAGATCGTTCATGGTGATGGCCACCACACCGCCAATGTTCATGGCCACTGCAATCACTTTGGTGATGGTCAGCTTGTCCCCTGTTGCCGAGGGAAACACAGCCGCCAGGCAGATAATAAAGAACGACGATGACGAGCTAACGAGCGTTATCATGGCCGCTTCGTCCATTTCCAGAGCCAACTGAAAGAAGTAGTTGGCCACAAACCAGAGCAGGCAGAACAGCAGTGCTGTTTTGGCCGTTTTGTGATGGGTTTTTTGTCGCCTAATTCGCAGACTGGCGGCATAGGAGAGCCTGGCCATTAGGGCATCGGTGGCCTCGTGGGCGGACATTTCCCTGACCTCGGCCATCTTGCTGAAGCGTACGCTGCGCACACTGGAATCATCGCTCTCGCTGCCGGACAGAGAATTGGTGCTGCCGTTGCCATTGGGGGTGGTCACCAAATGTGGCGATCTGATGGGCACATAGGTGGGGTCGCCCTGGGGGAGGTACAGACATGATTAGATAGGATTATTGGGTGAACTTTGGTCAAGTTAGGTTACCAAAACAGCCTGGTTGGAGTAGTAGTTCTCGTCGTCTGCATTCTGCTCCATCATCTGGGGGGAAAACAAAGAGTTAATATATGTTCGTAGGTAGTTTAAGAACTTCCTTACCGCATAATTTCCATTCTGTCGCTCGCAGGACTCCTTCCAGGGCGCCAGGATGCCTATGACCAGCAGGTAAATGCTGAACATGGAGGTTTTGAAGTAAGTGCAGAAGAAGGGCTTGTCAAACTTGGCCTCATTGTACAGAAACTGTGGGGAAAATAAATTATTACGTTTTTCAGAGGGTTTTAGTAAAGAACTCCCTCACCTTTGTCAGCTCGCTGGAGGAAACCCACACCACATCGACTAGTATCAGTATGGCTATGCCCAGCAGCAGCTTTTGGCCGCGTCCCAGCATGATTCTGCGGCTTCTCGCAGATTTTACTCAAAAGAATTGCAAGCGTTTGCTGTTTATTTTCCGGCTGGACTGACTGTCTCCTGACGTTTATCTCGAGGCAAGTGATTATTTACGCTTGTGCCGCCAGCGTTTCAGTTTCATTTTGGCAACGCTTGCCGGTCGGCTCTTCAGGAAATGATAAAAGTTCGGGTCTCTGCTAAACCATGGCAGCCTGAAAAGAAAATCGGAAAATCAGAAAAAGAGTGAAGTTCAGCGGGGGGCCGGCGGGCAGTAACTGCATTTATTGATTTTGTGTTCGCCCAAGTGGGTGCGGCATTATTCGAGGTGTGAATTAGCACGTTCAAAGGCATTGAATTGGGTTTGAGTAGCAGCCCATATTTGATTATCGTAGCTATCGATCCCTCAATTAGCATCTGATTCACCGAAGGAGAGATCTCAATCCAATTACAGATTTGCTGCCAGATGGCAATGATTGTTGAACGAAATTAGCAAGATTCGCGGGGGACTGACTGATAAGATAGCGATAGCGAGTCTCCCAATATTATTTCGGCTAGCAAATACAACAAATATAAATAAATATGAACATTTTGAGGGGGCGGAGGAGGTAGAGGAGGTTGTTGATAACAATTCAACGCGCACAAAAACAAAATCAATAAACGGCAGTAACGAGATACGGCTCCAAAATGTGAGAACAGCAACAAGTTTTAGCACTAAATTCGTTTATCTAAATTCATTGGTTTACGCTTGGTTTAATTTATTCAGTTTTTTACCATATATTTCTCCCTTTTCCCAAGAGAACAGCACTTGTTTTTGTTCTTGTGGCAGCTGTTTTGGTTGTTTTTAACTAGGCGTGACGAATACCGCTTGTTTTTCGCGGATTTCCTTTTTATAGAGGAGTTTATCTTTTGATTCAGCTCTTGGTTGACTTGGAATAAGGTGCGTTATAATACTTAATACTGATTCTGATTATATATTTTATTTATCACACAGCTGGACAGTGCTGCCAATTTAGCTAACTTGAAGCTAAATGTAGCAACTATTGTGTGAAATGGTTTTATTCTGTTAGATAAATATATATAATTTTGTTTTATGTGAATAAAATTTATTTATATTTACATTTCTTGCATATTTAAAACATTTATTTATTCTATTTCATATTTAATCATCTATATCCTTCCCTGTTTTTAGCGGTTAAATCGCTGCCAGTTATCTAGCTATGAATATTATTATCTGCCAACACTGCAGCTGGACAGGAACAGTGTTGGTTAACTTGAAAATGCTTTTGATAACTTGTACCAACCGTAGGGCTGCATCGATAGGCTAGAATTCGATTAGCATTAAATTATAACTTATCGATTCATAGCGCAATTTTCAAATAGTCTTTTAGCTTGCTCTTGCTGGTAATTTATTTATGTTAGTGTTTTGGCTTTTGCCAATCAACCTTTTTCGGCTATCTAATTTATGCAAACAATGCTGACAAATTACTCGTCTACGCGCGGCAATTTAAAGTGGAATTATGCTGTCACGCCTGAAGGACGAAGGACGACACGCACACTCGAAAATGTTGCGGCCGCAAATGATATTCAAATACCGAGTTGATACTCGAGATTTGCGACGGAGACAAGGACGACATCGCCTACGGCGGAGGGACAACAGCCCAAGCAACTAGGGGGTGGCAGGAAAGGAGGCGAAACGGACAGACGGACGGCTCAGTTTCACTTTCATCACTTCAAACCCGATTAAGCACCTCATTTTATGTGTTATTTATCTACTGATTGGATGGCGACGATACGGGCGAGGAGCATGGAGTACGGTGGTTGGCAGGAGGAGCCCTCCAGCTGATGAGGATGTGAATGTGGGGTGGTGGAGGTGTCTAGTCCATTGCCTTTGTTATTTTCCACTCGGCAGGGTGTTCGCTTACGCTTTCGCTTTCGCCTCGTCTCGCCTATTAAAGGACGACAAAAATACGCGTATAAATGCCACATAAAACAATACAAAGAATAATAGGCTACCATTTTTCACCACCACCACCACCATCTCCGACAGTGGGTGCCACGCCCACTTTTTGGGAGTCTGTCAGGCAGCCACTCAGTCGGCGACACCTGTCAAGCTGGGGGCTCCTTTGGGCTGTCGGGCTGCCGCTCCTTTGGCTGCTTTCCCAAGGCGCGTATGTGCGTAGGCATAAAATAAATAAATAAAAAATTGACTACCAGACGAAGGGGAGGGTGGCAAAGGAACCAGGACCTCTTGCTCTGTCTCTCTCTCTCTCTTCCACTCACTCACTCTAGGTTAGGCCGAGAAAATAATATTATGTCGACCCATTGAGACGAGCATGATGTAATTTTCTTTTCCGTTAAGTTTCATTTGCTCTCAAGTTGACACACAAACATGAACATGAGGCACACACATTTTATGTTTTATTTTTTTGGGGCAGGTGCAGCATTGGCAATTTGTTAATTTTGCAATTGTAAACTCCAGTGCGTTTACAGTGCCTCCAGACTTCGACTCCGACTCCGAGTCTTGGCGGAATGACATAATTCCGGGATTCAATTATATTGCCATATTACATAAGCCGATTACAGCGATGATAACAAAGCATTAAACTCATTAGGCGGCCACTCCAACAAATGTCAAACAGAGACAATGGCAATGACGCCGCTGCAGAGGGCGGTGATGGGAGGGAGTGGAGGCTGGGGA